GGTATCAGAGGAAATGGCTTTGCATGGAAAGGGGGCAAACAGGCCAATTTAGTACAGAAATTTAGCACAGAAATGTGCACATCAGGCGAAATTCGCACTAAAATACTGATGAATTTTCATGAGTGGTTTAGATATAGATATAGGCATAGATATAGATACCAACACAAAAAAATATGAACTGATGTGGAATTATGGAGGACTGAATGGGAAAAATGGGAAATGGAGAAAAGTAGAAATGGACAGATTCTCCCGCCCTTAACATGTGCTCCTCCTAGCCACACCTCCTGAAGTATCCTGTCCCTATCATCACACACACATCTTCCCAGATGCTCATCACTGAGTTGGTTCAACCTCAAAGGGCTTCTGTCTCCTGCCCGCAATCCCTCTGCACCTGGGAAACTGATCCAGGGAAACCTTTCAACCATCTGTCTCCTCAGGGTACTTGCCAAAATCCTTTACCTGCACTATCCATTCACCTGACCAATTTTACAACACCTGTTCACTGTCTGTGATGTAAAGTAGGCAAACCAATTGACCTGGATCCCACAGCCATTCAGGGGCAGAGGTTGACTTCCTGCTTGTTCTCACCCAATCCGTAAACAGACCCCTGTGTTGCAATATAGACAAGCTGAACAAAATAACAACACGATGGCTGATAATAATGGCACTAAACACTATTTATAGACTAATACAAATGATCAGAAATTGCAACCAAAGTCTCGAAATCTTCTTCACCAGTTGCAGTAGAATAATTCAAAAGTTCAATATATACATAATCTGTCACCAAATATCGCCAGAACAGAGTTTCCGGATAAACAGTCTGTTTCGTTCAATGCTTGTAAGAATTAACATGAGAAGGATGCAGTTCAACTTCTTAACAAGCCAATCTTACACGTAAGTAAATATAAACACTGTAGAAAATATGCTCTGGATCAGAATATGCTTGTTAAGAAATTGAACTGCATCCTTATCATATTAATTCTTACAAGTCTGGCTGATGAAGAATTGATCAAGATTGACTGATGAAGCATTGAACGAAACAGATTGGTTATCCGGAAAGTCTGTTCTGGCAATATTTGGTGACAGATTATGTATATCTCAAACTTTTGAATTATTCCACCGCGACTGGTAAAGAAGATTTAGAGACTTTGGCTGCAATTTCTGATCGTTTGTATTAGTCTATCAATAGTGTTTAGTGCCATTGTTATTGGCCATCGTGTTGTGTTATTTTGTTCAACTGGTCTCACCCAATGACTGGATAGTCCTTCACTGTGATCAGAGGGGGTGGGGTGGTAAGCAAAGCCACAAATGGGTCTGGAAGGAAGATGCTGAGCCCACCCACAACTTTGGCATGCCTCCATCCCACTCACCCATCAATAAGTGCAGGCTCAGAAACATGGAGAGCCAGTGTGGTGCAGTGGTTAAGAGCGGTAGTCTTATAATCTGGTGAACCGGGTTCGCGACTCCGCTCCTCCACATGCAGCTGCTAGTTGACCTTGGGCCAGTCACACTTCTCTGAAGTCTCTCAGCCCCACTCACATCACAGAGTGTTTGTTGTGGGGGAGGAAGGGAAAGGAGAATGTTAGCCACTTTGAGACTACTTCAGGTAGTGATAAAGCGGGGTATCAAATCCAAACTCTTCATGGAAAATGACCAGATGTGTACCTCAACCTCTCTCCATACAATCACAGGCAAGGCTGCCTCCTTGCCCATGCATAAGGAGGAGGCCTGGGCATGAAATGTGCCTACCAAAATCCAAGCAGTTTTCGCTGGCTATGTTCAGTGCTAGAAATCAAACGCCTGATGAGAAAACGGAGACCCCTGGAAAAATGCCACCGTAGCCCAAGGCGTGTGTGCGAAAAGATTATAGAAACATGGAACAGCCCTCTTGTCAAAGAAAGCTGAAATGTTTCAAAGGCTTTATTATTATTATTATTATTAAGACCTTGGTAAAGAAGTCTCCGGCTTGATATGCGCACTTGATGAGAATGAAATCAGAAAGTTGGCCCTTTTCTTAACCACAAGCAATAGGGCCTGTTATAAGTTTAGAAATCTTTTTACTATCTGAGAACGAAAACTTCAACAGAGCCCAAACATACGTACAGTAAATTCTTCCTTGTGCAGTGAACTTTTGTTGTATTTCTAATTTTAAACTTCACTCCGTATACAGAGAGGAGTGGGAATGGATCCAAAGTCTTTCTGGCTCGGAATCTATGGAAAATATGGATCATTCCGCAGAGTGTCCAACTCAACTGTTCGTGGAGCTCCAGATGGCAGTGAAAGCTCTCCTGAAACAGATCAGTCTTCCTCTACGACAGGTACGATGCATTGTTTGTGACACTTTCGATTTGTGGATGAATTTGAACACCACGCTCTTCCTCACACCTTGAATTGTAAATATATTCTTGCTTATCATTGCCATTTTGTTTCAGAACCATACAATCCAGGGCTGGTTGAAGGTCATGTTTGTTTGCCTGCAGTGTGTGACCTATATGGGAAGGGTGGGTTTCATTTAGTCCACAAGAGGCTGAATGGATGAGGGTTCCCTTCTTCTTCTTCTTCTTCTACTTCTTCTTCTTCTTCTTCGATCACTCGTAGCCAAGTAAGATTGTCTTCCATAAACACAGTTTAACAGTGAGTCCGTAAGTGACTGTGGAGTCCAATTCTGGGTCCATTACAGACATCATGGCTGTGTTGCCTTTGCCATGTTTTCAAAAAAGGACGCTCGGAGTTGCAGAGGGGTCTGAATCCACAGCAGAAACTTGACATGGTACATCACTACCAGGCAGGACAATAATCAGCACCATGTAAATGAAATGGCCTGCCATAAGGAGGCAAAGTCCTGTTACAACTGGGTCTTGTACACCCCTGAAAGTGTGTGGAATGTAGTTTGACTGTAAGTAATTGATGCAATGGTGCGACTGCTTCTTTGTGCACCCAAGTCCCAAAGTCTTAAGTGTGGAGGAGCATTTCAGTGAGCCAATGCTAACAGGTAACTCTGTGGACCTTTGCAGTGCTGTGCTCGGTGCTTGCATGCAGCAAGAAAGATTTGGTTGTAAAATCTAGCTATGATATGATTCTCTCACCACATCCCCCTATTCAGCCCACGAGAGCGAACTGCAAGCATCCTGATGCAGTCATCTTCAGTGGTACAAGTCACAGTCTCCTGAATCGGGAACATTTCCAGTCTAGTGACATCCACCCATTTTTATCATAGAAAAGAATTATGAGATAGTCGTTTAAGTATCAATGGAGGCCTGATGAACCCTTTGCAGATGACACACGATGTGTGGTTAATCAGTGGAGGAATTTCATCTAATTTTAGTTAAATTGTCTCCTGCCATTTTCCATTAGAAATAAATAAATCCCAAAGCAGTTCTCAGTAAATCAATACAGTGGTACCTCCGGTTAAGAACTTAATTTGTTCTGGAGGTCCGTTCTTAACCTGAAACTGTTCTTAACCTGAGGTACCACTTTAGCTAGTGGGGCCTCCTGCTGCTGCCGTGCCGCCACCACACGATTTCTGTTCTCATCCTGAAGCAAAGTTCTTAACGCGAGGTACTATTTCTGTGTTAGCGGAGTCTGTAACCTGAAGCTTCTGTAACCTGAAGCGTCTGTAACCCAAGGTACCACTGTAAAATCCATTGTTTGCCTCTGCTGGCACCACTCCTGACCTCCATGCACTGATCAGATCTACATGCATACAGGGCAGGACGCGAGTGGCGCTGTGGTCTAAACCACCGAGCCTCTTGGGCTTGCCGATCATAAGGTTGGCAGTTCAAATCCATGCAATGGGGTGAGCTCCCATTGCTTTGTCCCAGCTCCCGCCAACCTAGCAGTTCGAAAGCATACCAACGCAAGTAGATAAATAGGTACCACTGCGGCGGGAAGGTAAATGGTGTTCCATTGCACCAGAAGCGGTTTAGTCATGCTGGCCACATGACCCGGAAAAGCTTTCTGCGGACAAACACCGGGTCCCTTGGCCTGAAAGCGGAGATGAGTGCCACACCCCATAGTCAAATTTGACTGGACTTAACCATCCAGGGCTCCTTTACCTTTAAATGCATACATGTGAATGTCAAAATGTGTAATGTCAGTATGCTGCTTACCAGGCTCTCTGACTTAAACCCAGCATGACTGGTGCCACCTCTTTTATGCCCATCATAGTTTTTCCAGTAAATCAAAAGCCCTTGTTTGCCTGTACTTACCCACATAGCAAGCTCACATAGCTAAATCCTGCGAAGACACATTCTTGATGGTTTCTTCAGAGCTGCTGGACTTTCCTGGGCACTTCCTTCCCCTAAAAAAGCTTGAATACAGACCTTTTCCAAAACCAAAAAAGTTTCTATGTGGGCAGATGATGGCCTATTGTTTTATAATTGGCAGCTGTTATTTCTTGATTTTTAATGTTGTTGCAGATGTTTCTCTTTGTGTTTTATCCTTTTGTGTTGTAGTTTTAAGTTTGTATGCCACCATGAAAGCCTGTTGGTGGGCTGGAACTAGGTATGGTTGAAATTTAAAAAATAAATAAAACACAGTAATAGAATGCTACCATATTCTGCCATGTTTTGTAGGCTATATGGATCAATCCTTGATCCAAAAGGAGTGGGCCAGGATTTAGTTCAAGCATGCTAAGATTTTTCTGGATAAAATGTATTCCAACAATTCAACAATCCAATTTCTTTCTTTGAATATTTTGTTAGTCTTCTTTAAAATAAATTAAAAGAAATAAAAAAAGTGAGACAGCCTTGGATGAATATATATATATATATATATATATATATATATATATATATATGTATATATGTGTGTGTGTGTGTGTGTGTGTGTATATATATATATACACACACACATATATATACATATATACATATATACATATATATACAAACACACACACATACATACTCCCAACAATCATATTTGCTGGTGCTCAAGGCCACAATTTAACCAGGAAGCTTCCAATTAAACCATAGTTTCCTGTTCTGTTCAAACTTGGGAAACTGTGGTTACCAGGTTCAGAACAAGCCAGGATATTAAATGAACCAACTTAAAACATTGGTTCAATAGCTTGACTTGTTCTGAAGCCATAACCATAGCTTCTTGGTTCGGATGGAATGAGAAACTATGGTTAATTAGAGGCTTCCCCCATTTTATTGCAGCTTGTAGCAACAGGAAGAACAAAGGAGCCACATTCGCAGGCAAAAAAAGCTCAGGTATATCTCTGCTTAATAAACTGAGATGTGATCATCCAAGCATGGTTTATTGGTAGCTATATCACCTAAAATCCATTCCCCTGAGCTGAAGCTGATTTAGGAAACACAGACCATGTAAGTTACTACCACACTTCTTTCTTGTAGTGCCGATTCAAATAACTTAATTTATTAGAATAGAATAGTATAGAATAGAATAGAATAGAATAGAATAGAATAGAATAGAATAGAAGAATAGAAATCTCGATCTTCTACCATAGCTTCCAAATTGGAGTGTTTGTTGGCCAAAGATGGCCATAGTCTCAAAAAATGCAAAATTCGTACACCAGTGCATGCTGGTCCACGCAATATCTCCCAGTGCTCTGGTGCCCCAGAACAACTTCCTTCCAGGTTTCACAGCACCAGGAGATGGTCACCCAGCCTGAGGTGACTTCCTGCCAGGCCTCTTCTGCTCCCTCAAGATTGCGGGGCTGAGCCTTGTCCCAGTGGACATTTGAGGGGCTGTAGAGACCTCAGCAAAATAGAGTTGGTGAGCCTGACACACATACACACCCCTACACAAAGGACTGATATCCTGAAATGGGGGAGAGATGACAAGCTTAGATAATGGTCCTAGCTGATTCGACGCCTCCATTTAGCATCAAAGTCGATTTTAATCAAACATATGCCTCTTGCTGTTTCATACTTATTTCATTTTCATTTTTCTCAGTGCGGCTTGTTAAATCTTTTTCATTGCCCCATTTGGTGACAGGCTGCAGGGAGAAAATGGGGAGGGGAAGGGAGGAAGCAAGCCAAGAAGAAAAAGAAAAAAAGGAGGGGGGGGGAGATCTGCATAGTTTTGCTAACCAGCTCCTAAATTGAATGTTAAAGGTTTTTAATTGAATTCATTTTCATGTTTTCACATAATTATACAATCATAATCTTGAAAAGCTCATGGAGTGTGATCGTTTTCTGGCTAATAAGAAACATAAATGTTATTTTCTGGGGGAGGCAAGGGGTTGTGTTGTGCGTACGTGTGTGTCTTTTAATGTGGAACGTTGGAGCATTAAATCTTTATTTTATGAAGCAAAATTAACACACACATGGCCTTTCTCTCTCTCTCTCCCTCTCTCCCCCACTAGATATATATATATATATATATATATATATATATATATATACACACACACACACACACACACACACACACAAACACGTGTGTGTATATATACATATACAGGTATATATTCCCCCCCCCCCATTTCTCTTTTACAAAAAAACCCCTATATCTTGATGCTGTGCAACTTTGCGCTAATGTTTTATACAATTTTGGGGGTTGTTTATATAAGTACGATGCTGTAACTCTCGCCTCCCCTTTCTCCCCCCCCCCCCCGTGCCCACCCCCATTTCTTCTCTGTGCGTGTTCCTCTGCAGGCTAAGCTCTTCCGTCTGTATACACAGGAGGTGTTGGAACTGGGTCACAATGTGTCCTTTCTTCTCCTGCTCCCTGCCTCAGACGACGTCTGCACTGCCCCAGGACAGAATAACCCTTACACCCCGCACTCAGGATTCCTTAACCTCCCTCTTCAGATGTTTGAACTCGGTATACTACCTTGCTTCACCTAGAAATATTAACCCAGTCGCCTTATAATAAAATCACAAAGTTGTATCTGTTCCCCTCCAGCCCCTCGCCTCCCCCCCGTCCCAGCGGAGAGTCAATAGATCACGTGATGATTTCTTGGCAACAACGCTTTTTCTCTCCGACTACAGACAAGTAATAGAAGGAGCGTAGCTACCAGGTTACATGCTCTAGTCATAAGTACAGGAATGCAGAAGCCAGTCAGTCCATAAGCTGTCGAGCAGCAACACGGTCCTTTGGTTATAGGCATGAAGAATAGCGAATATTGAAATGGGCAGTTCAGGCGGCATTCGGCGAAAGCAAAACGATTCAAAGCTGACTTAGCAGGGCTTTTGATTTCAAAATATGGTCAAGGAAGGTGGATCACCCATCTCTGACTGCATTACCAATCTGATTACGGAACTGAGCTTGGGGTAGAATTTATTTATTGTTATCGGGCCAGATCCAGACTTAGTCCCGTTGAAATCAGACAACTGTTCTGCAAGCAGTATTGACGGTCAGTAGGATAAATGTGAGTGCACAGAATCCCGAGTTTTACACGCCGTTCATGGGATGCAAGAAGACCTCACAGCTGGTAGAACAGAGGTGTGACTCTCCAGAGGTTGGTGGGCTACAACTTCCAACATCCCTAATGATGATGGTTTGGTCTGACAGGAGCTGAAGTCCAGTAACATCTGGAGTGCCACAGAGAGCTGGTGCTTTCTCTCATACCATAAGGGTGTGGGAATGTACACCAGCAAGCACAGTCTTCTGGTTGGTAGCCCTCGCTGCTGAAATGCCAGGAAGCATTCCGTATCAGCCACTGTCAGAGAAAAGCATACAGAGCCAGATGGTTGATTTGGTTCAACAAAAGCTTCCTTAATCTTCTCTCCCACAGATCCAGTACTAGGAAAAGCATGGGCAGATTTCAAGCAGCAAAGTAACAAGATATTCCTGAAACAGACCATGCAAATATCGTGATAGCATTGTGCATGATGCACAATGGGGCTATACAGTGCTGCTTGTTTGCACGCAGTTAAACCCCTCTGCTACTGAGACTGAATTGTCACCATCACCCTATCATCCATGCCCCCTCCTTACAAGTAACAGTCATCTTTCATGCATGTTTCCATAGGTATAAGGGACGCGGGTGGCGCTGTGGTCTAAACCACTGAGCCTCTTGGGCTTGCCGATCGCAAGGTCAGCAGTTCGAATCCCTGCGATGGGGTGAGCTCCCGTTGCTCTGTCCCAGCTCCTGCCAACCTAGCAGTTCAAAAGCACACCAGTGCAAGTAGATAAATCGGTATCACTGTGGCGGGAAGGTAAATGGCATTTCTGTGCGCTCTGGCACTCGTCACGGTCCTCTGTGCACCAGCAGAGGTTTAGTCATGCTGGTCACATGACCCAGAAAGCTGTCTGTGGACAAACGCCGGCTCCCTCAGCCTGAAAAGCAAGATGAGCACCGCACCCCATAGTCGCCTTTGACTGGACTTAACCATCCAGGGGTCTTTTACCCTTAAGCTATCCCATATCTATAAACACACGCATACACAATAGGTTTATAACTTTTTCAAGAAGGATTTCCTATAATGTAAAGGGATGAATTTTTGCTCAGAAACCTTGCAGAAGGGACTAATTGTTCTCAGTTGTGAAAAAGCGTCACCCTGAAATGAAAAGTTTGAATCACTGTATATGTAACGTTACTACATAAGTATATTAGCGCTTTTGATAAACTTTGTGGAACTGTTTAGAACTTTTACAGCTGTCTGGAACTTCCTAGACAGCTGTAATGTGTTGTATTGGAGAATCACTGGAAGCAACAGGCCTCCATAGACCAGATAACAAGAAGTAATCAGTGCACAGAATGCGTAATCAAAGTGATGTGGGAACTCTATGGTGCTTGCAGCAGAGACAAAGACAAACTGCAACCTCATTTTATTCTAAGCAATAAGAAATGATGTACAATGTGCAAAACATACAAGTATTTTAAAAATTGCAACCTGTATTTTTCCTATCCATGCTGTGCCTATTACATAATACATTATACAATTACATATACAAAAGTTGATTTATTGGTTTCGGGGTGACCTTTTTCCAAAAAAAAATGGAAATGACAGTTCATTCCTTTGTTTTTAGGCAACAGTTCATCTAACTAAGCTATAGGAACATGAAGTTGTAAGACTGTTATAACCCTAATACACGCACTAAGTGATATAAACTTATAGGAAGATTGAGCCATTCCCAGAATAATGTGTTCTTTCTTTGCCAGCTCTCTTTTATGAGTCATTCATAAAGCCCTTTTCTGGGCAAGGTGGTTACATCTCTTACATACCACAGCTCTTGGGGTATGACTAATGCACAGGCCAAATTTGCCAGGCTAATCTCCCATGATCACCCTACACCTTCTGTGACCGGCAACTATGAATCAGCACTGTTGGTAGCCTCAGATATTCAAAAATTATGAGTTCAGCCTTACATTTCAACATATTTTTCCAGTATTTAATACCATACCCTCCAACATTTCTCCAATGAAAATAGGGACGTCTTATTCCTTCATCATCATCATCGTCATCACCATCATCATTTTATTATTTATACCCCACCCATCTGACTTCCCTATACAGGGCTACCCTCAGATGTCTTCTAAAGGTTGCATAGTTACTTATCTCCTTGGCTTCTGTAAATCCAGAACTATCCCTGGAATATAAGCACACTTGGAGGGTCTGTAACACAGAGAACTAGCATCTTTTTTTTTTCCCTTAAAGGGGACCCAAGTCTGCATGTTAGAAACAGATCAAGCAAGGCAAGATCACAAACTTATTTAATGTCGATTGTAGATTAGAGCAGCAATGGAGATGACAAAGTAGTTTGCCATACACAATGAGGATTCAGCAGACTTTGCTCATTTGTCTCTCAATGCGGTGAATTTATGGTGTGGGGACTTTGTAGTACTGCAGGGAGAATTCCAATAAAAGCCCAATTTTACTTTTCCAACAAAAAGCAACCGATCTTGTGCCCTAGAGCAGAGGCCATTTTCTGTCTGATTTATTGCACATTTCTCCCCAGTGCCTATAAAATGGCTGTGATTCACCTCC